CCCCAAAACCCCAAAACCCCAAAACCCCAAAACCCCACTTTTTCTTCATAGAGTTGAATTTTATTAATAATATAAGAAATATTGAAAAATGGAAGGTAAGGTGATAAAATAGGAAGGTTTTGATAGAGAGTTTGGAAATGGAATCAGATTTTAAGGTTGAGGGTTTTTGGATTTTTAGGATTTAAAGTTTTTAAGCTTAGTTTTGATAATTCTAGTTACTATTTTTAAGCAAATTGAAGAATTTTGTGTTAAAGTTTTGCCAAATTTAGGGAAAGTTCGGGAATATTTCCCGGATAGAATTTAGACTTAAAATAACATATAACGGTCAAAATATTAATTAGTATTTTTTAAATATTTAACTTCATTAGCTATTAACTCAATTATTATCGCCAAACTAACAAAATACAATTTATTCCTTTTGCACAATCATAAAAACCTCGTTATAGATGGCCAACCAATGGGCTATTCACCCAAGTATAATAACTTTAAACCACCAAGTGGGTACAAAAGAACTAAGAATAGTAGTAAAAACAACGAATTTAGCCAAAAGTAAGTTTAACGACTGTTTTCAAACCATTACTAAATAATTTAACCTAAACTTCTTGGAATGTTATCAGAGAGTCTTCATTCTGATTAAGCATGAGCAAGTAGCATACCTTGACTCTTTATGGTTCATAAATTAATGATTTATCTGTGGCGTGTAGGGTGGCAAATGATAATAACGTTGCAAACCAAGATGCAGCGATCTCATTTAGAGGTGAAACCTTTAACAATAATGGATTTGGTAAGTCTCTTACTCACAAAGCTTCAATACTAAAATCTTACTGAACTTTATAGCTGAAGGAGCTCATGCAGTAAAGAGTAGTAATAGCAGCTCAGAAAATTCTAAGACAAGTGGCTACAAAGAACTTCGGAGCTATATCCAGGAGGGATATGATAGCTCCTTGACCACGGAGTCAATGCCTATCCCTACTGATGAACTTTGCTCTGATATCTACTCAGAGGCATCATCTTGTTTGCGAGAAGAAGAGGAAGGAATTGCTCACAAGCCGAACATCTTCCAAAACTATCAAACTCTTCCTAACAGTGAGAAGAAGACTGCTAATGACTCAGACCATTACTCTAACCCGGTAACACCAGGTAAAGAAATTAGAGGAGATATTGAAACTCTTGGAGTGGAAATCGACTCCTCATGGGAAGTTGTTGAGCAGAGCTCAATCGTCATCGAGGTCGGTTCATCATACAGAGATAGTGTCGACTCCTATAAGAAGAATCCTATTACAAAGGCAATGACTCCAGAACTTGACCCAGAGTTCGAGGTGCTAAAATCTTCTGAGTCAAAGACAGCTACCTTTACTTCTAATAATGGGGGTATTAATAACAGAATTGAGGAGAGCAAATCAGTAAGAAATCATGATGAAAATCCAAACAGTCAAAAGCCATTCCAGTACGGAGATTATAACTCAGAGGAAGACGATTTTAACTCTGAGGAAGAGTTTAGCGCACAAGAGAGTAATAATGGCTCACAATGGGCTCCTAGCAATCCAGTCAAGTCAGTTGTTCCTCCAAAAGCTGACCATATTAATCCAGAAAGTAGCTCTAAAAAGAGTAGTAATAAGACCAGTGAGAAAGATAATGGTTGGATTGGTGAAACTCGGTCTGTAAAGTCTCTTATGCCCCATAACACAAACGAATCAGGAAGTTCAAACAAGTTTGAGTCGATGTCAACTCATACCTCACCACAGTTCCAAGCTCACCCAAAACTGATGAAAAAGAAAGCCAAGAAGACTAACAAAAAGAACGGTTATGTCAGCAAGAAAGATTTCAAAAACTTCATATCAGAGACCAAGAAAAACGTTGAAGACAGAAGTGTATCTAAAAGAAGAAAATAAATGGAAATCTCCTCTTAGAATAGTCGATAGGCTCCTAGAAGACGCCAATGAGAGACTTAAGAATAAGAAGAAATTAGAGAAGTTTGGAAGAGATCCATCTGTAGCGAAGACAGTTAATGAATGGAATGGTACACTTCGGAACAAGTCTGCTCAGCCCACTCGGAAGTTAGGCACAAGGTCTCGGATTGATTCTACTAGTAGCTACAGATCTGGAAATAGTCAATATAGGTCAATAAATTCCAACTGAAGGTAACTCTCATGTTTATTCTCTATAGTTCCAGGAACCAGAGTAAGGATCGTAAATTGAGCGCACAAAGGGTGAAAGAAATGATGCAAAGGTTCGAGGTTCAAGAGAAAATGAAGCAAGAGATATTAGAACGAGAGCGTCAATTAAAGCGAATAGAAGCCCATCAAGCAGAGACACAAGAGCTTAATAATAACATCCACAAAAAGTACCTCCGAACCAAATATAAAGAGAAGTATGGAACTTCTAAATGGCATCGTGAGAACTCTGAGGAAATGACTGAGAAAATGTACAAGAGAGCTTTTGAAAAGAAGGAAAAGTTTGAAAAGATTGAACAACAGAAAGCAGAAAAAACTGAAAAAGATCTTAAAGGGCTCTTTCGACCCAAAATTCTTAAAAGTGTAGAATCATGGGAGAATCTTAAAAGAAATGAGAAGAAAATTGATTCTAGAATAAAGAAAAAGGAGCAAAACAGAATTAAACAAACCCAAAACGCTGTTTCCAGACAGACCCAAAGGTTCAGAGATGACAACGAGAATACAGTTTTCTCTCGTATGCAACGAGATCTTGAAGAGCGAAGAGAAAGAGAACGCAAAAGAAGACAGTTGAAGAAATTCAAGGATAAACATTTTAAGGAATACACTGAAATCATGGAGAATGGCATCCCTGACCACCCACAAAACCCAGATACAGATGCCTGCCACCAGTGCGAACACCATCGGGAGGCAGGATCAGACCAAGATCTGAGTGAGATCATTGAGAAAAGTGAACGAAATGAATCCGCTTTCTATCATCATTAATCAATCAACCTAAAACTACCCGTTTGGGGTTTTGGGGTTTTGGGGTTTTGGGGTTTTGGGGTTTTGGGG